AAATTAGAGAAAAGCACTGTATTTACAAATGCTGAACAAATCATTAAAGGCAACTTTTTAGTTGACACTGAAAAATGTCAATTTAAGTTTTCAATTTTCTTTTCTTGTATTGATTAATTGCCTTTCAAGTAAGCAGAAAACTAAGAGGAGCGACACAAAAATGATCTTGAACGCAAAATTTACTATCATAATGGCAAAACAAGATAATAAAAATTCATTTTCTGATACAAAAAACTACAATTCGTTAATTGCTTCTCTTTCTTAAATGGGCCTGCTTTCATTTTGATCGCATTTGCATTTTTAAAGTTTAATGATCAAACCGCAGCCAATGCTAGATTTTTAAAAAATGTTTTGGTCTAAGATTCGTCGATTTGTAGCCTTGAACTATTTCACTCTATACTACTACCAGGAGATTGTTGACCGGTACAAAATCTTCTACGATCGCAATAAATACCGCCGTTTGTACCAGTATGTTGGCCAGTATCTCCTTCTGGAGTATCGAAAAGTTGCCGGACCTGAGTACGCATTACGTCGACCTGCAGACTATCCTACGAGAATTAACTCACAGCCATCACACCTTCGTTTCATTCGCTTGCTTTTTCTCTTTTATGTACTACGATGCTTTAGTATAGCTTTTATTCGACCTGTGGCAAACACTGAGCAAAAACGAATACTCCTTGGAACAGAGCTTTTCAAAGCTGATTACTTCTATATGGAGGTAACCTTCCTCTTCTGGAGCAGCATCTCCTACTTCTATCTGCAATTTAGTTTTACCGATTGCCTTCTTGACTACAAGTTTTTGGCTATTTTTTGCATGTCGGAAAATAATATGAACAACCTTTCTCCGGCACACTTTGGCATTTCGTCTGTTGATTTTAGAAAGTTTAAGAAGTTTCGTACCTTGGCACTTGCATTCTACAACGCCACCATGGCTTCAGTCCCACCTTTTGGTGTTTGCTGCATTCTTTTTCTCAATCTTACAGCATCGCTTTACACAATTGTCCCATTGATAAGCTTGACATGGACTGTTATAACGGACTACTGGATCTACATTGTTTGCACAGTCATTTACGGCAATCTGACTGCTTTTATAGTAGTAGCTAAGTACCTCAACATCAAACAAAAGTCAATTGCTACTTCTATTGAGACTCATTTTAGTAAACTTTTGTACAGTAAACAAGTCAATCGCATGCAGCCGATGCTGTTTGCAAAACTAATGACTTTTAATATTCGTTACTCCCACTTGTATGATGAACTGTTTGACTACCATCGGTTTTGGGTTGTTTTTGTTAGCGTCATCTTTGTATTCTACATTCTTCTAATTTCGTTTATTATCTACATAGCCATTTTTTCTACTATTGCTATTTACGTGAAGATTATTTATTATCTCATTTTTTACTTTCACGTAGTACTCCTCAGTGCCATTATTTACTACGCAGGAGGTATGGTCCGACGGAATGGCCGACTTGCTATCAAATTCACCTCAACATTAGCTAGATTTACTAAAAATGGCAAAGGAGTGACAACTGCCTCATCGAACGTATTTGAAGTACTGAAAATGAGCAGTCTCAGTGAGTCTTACACTCAAATGAATGAGAACGGATTCACATTGCTAAACGGTTACCTCATCACTACTGACACATTTCGCCTCATTATTGTAAACATAACAATTTACTTTTTACTCATTCTAAAAACCTAAATTTTTAAAAATTAATGATCAAAGATTTATAAAATTTTACAAGCGTTTTTTGTTTAAAATAACTTTTGTAATCTTACTACAGTAAATAACAGAATAAATTTTTTAAGTTACGTTTCCTAAAAAACTAGTTTACTGCAAACATTATTTTTTAAACACGTTAACACAAAACTTGTTTTAAAACAAAACTAATTTATTTCACAACCCAGTAATTATAAAATTTAAATTAACATGAACGCACATTTACAAGAAAAAATAAAATTGTAGTTTTCAAATGAATTTTTGTAATTTAACTACCACCTTAATTTTGTATTTATTTAATATTAGTTTTTTAAATTTTAAAAATGAAGCTAACTTTTGTTTTTACTTTTTTAAAAATTCAGATAGGTATTGGTTATTTTTACCAAACAATTTTTACATTTTTTATTTATATAGTTATTGGAAATGGATTTGTTGACTTAGCAGTTGAAACAATATATCAAAGTATTTCTAACTTAGATCCTTTAAAACTAGATGAATTTTATAATGATTTTAACTTGACTGTCAGTGATTCAAATTCAAATAAAAGCAAATTTTTAACAGAAATACAATTAGCACAAATTTTTATGAAAAATGGAACTCTTCATGGATTAAGAAATCTTAAAAGAACAAAAAAATCAAAAATGAACACAAATAGTTCACATTATATTTGTAAGTTTTTTTCAAACACATTTTTATATATAATTCATTTTTTAGTTGCTTTTACAATTAGGTGCAAAAACCTCAGTTTAACTGCTAACACCGGTGTCACTATTCCGTTGTTGTCNTATATATAATTCATTTTTTAGTTGCTTTTACAATTAGGTGTAAAAACCTCAGTTTAACTGCTAACACCGGTGTCACTATTCCGTTGTTGTCATTGTTTACAAAATACAATTCATTTCAAGCGTTCATGCAAACTTATGTTGATGTCATAGAATTTGAAATTACTTTGCTAATGAAAAGTGCTTTGGCAAAACCTTTTGTTGATAAAGTAGATGTAAAGAAGTTTAAAGATGTTCACGTACAATACGACTTGTCTATTCCATTTTTATCATTTATTATCGAAACAACTATCCGTATTGTTTTCTTTGTGTTCAATGATCTTGTCAAATCATTTATTGGAAAGCTCATTACTGACATGATCAATGATTTATTAGATTAAAAATTCTCTAATTAAGCACAATTTAATGAATAAGTTTCATTTTTTTGTAAATAAATTTAATGACAGAATGGATACTTTTCAGTGGTTGCCAAGAACCGTACACCGCTGGCATGAATCTTATCTGCAAAGTAGCCCATCTCTGCGTCATGTTTGGTGCAGTGGTGTGCGTGAAATGTGGCCCAGTCATGGCATGAAAACCCGTAGAATTTGCAGCTGTTGTGAGCGCTGAGTGAGGCGTCGTAATAGAGCAAAGCTGCCTCATGGTGACAGGCAATCTCAAGTGGGTTGTGGCATTTTGGTTGATTGTGACCATCGTTGGGGTAGAAATCCAAATGAGCAAATGCATGCACAAAACCAAAAACTCCATTTAACGGATTATGGTCCTTACTAGCTGAGGTGTGAATTGCATCTACAAAAACGGCGTCATTTTTGGTGAGGAAGGTTCCAGGATGGTTTTCAAAAGAAGGCGCCGCTGCATCCAAAGCAGTGATTCGACCAAGCTTCCAGTGAAATGTCGACAGAGCATACCGTCCTGCAAATCCGGCACTCTGTGCACCCAGACTGTGCCCCACAATGTAGACGTTGTGTGGATTGACGCCATGGTGCTTCCTCAGCTCCTCCACCAGGTGTGCTACCTGGTGTCCAACTACCTGAGTGTTCGATGCTGCCCGCAGGTAGGGCGGCAGTGCCAGTGCTGATGCCCCGTGCCTCCAGTCGACCACTATGACGGTGCCCACTTCTCCATTACTGTGGTGCAGCATGTTAGTCTTGATTGACTGCAAATGACTGTCCTCGTGACTTGAGGTAAACCCGTGTATGAGAATAGCCAGACGTTTGTGGGCATTCACCATAGAAAAGGTTGCTGGTTTGCTGGCATCCAAAATGTGAGCGACAGAGCTAGAGGCAGCAGTGTAGGCGTAGAATGTAGTGCCTATTTCATGAGGCGTCATCGGAAATTGCCCTCCAGGACCATGGGAAGTAAAACAACCCAGTCCTGGGTAACAGTGCTGGGCATCAGCAAAAAATGTTTCATTTGAAACTGTTGAAACCGCTTTGTTAATTGGCGTTGCAGTGACAACAAAACTAAAAGCCAGGAAAAACACAATAATTCTGGCCATTTTTTTGCTGGAACGTCTGAAAAGTGCTACACAGAAAAAAATCTTTTCCTTTTAAGTCTTAAATCCTAACTGCACTTATTAAAGTGAAAACAAGATAATTTTGGCACACCATCAAAATTGTTTAGATTAACCTCCTCGTCGTGCGGGATAAACCGGAGCGGGTAGGCCGAACGGGTTGAGCTATTGAGTTGAAACTTTCTGTGGTAACTCAGNTACAGAAAAAAAATCTTTTTTAAGTCTTAAATCCTAACTGCACTTATTAAAGTGAAAACAAGATAATTTTGGCACACCATCAAAATTGTTTAGATTAATAAGATTTTAAATATTTTAAGTGGACACTTTGGCTAACATCACTTTTGTACATCACGACCTTTTTACTGATGTTTATTTCAGATTATCCATTTGTGTATTTATTTAAATTCCAATTGTTTTGTTTTTAAAATATCTACTGTATCTTGAACCTGTAAAGAACTGTAAAATTAAAGGAGCACATCAAGGATGTATGCCTCTGTGACGCACTGACTTTTANGAAAAATTACTAGTATTAAGTACATTTAATATAATTAAGAATAAGTTTTTAAATTTTTCAAATCGGTTGAGTTTTGAGCAAGAAAAACGCGTTTAAAGTTTGCCAATTTGTGCTGATTTTGGCCAAAAAATGCATCATGGATACAGAGGATTATCTCAATAACCGNCATTTCTTTACAGTTTCTCATTTTATGTTTTTATCAATTAAATCAAAATGTGTGATAGAGAGGGATTATATATAACATAATAGATTTAAGTAATAGATGCTTTTTTAAAAGAGAAAAAAAANGAACTTTTGACTTCCGGCAGATAAACCAAAAATTTTTACAGATTTGAATTACTTTTAGAATTTTAAATTTTAAACGTGCTGTTTGTTTTACAATAAAACGTATTTTAAACATTNGTGTATTGGAGAAAGCAAAAATAAAAATAAAATAAAAGAGCAGAGATGAAGGAAAAATACTAAAGAAAGATAAATAAATTACAACAAAAAATAATCAACAGAATTTAACAGAAAAATAGAAACATCTTCTCAAAAGGATAAAAGAGGTTAGAAAAATAGGTGTGTAGAGAGATGTAATTGTGAATGGTGTTAGTTGGAGTAAAACAGAGAAACGTTATTCTACAAAATAATGCAGTTCATTTTTGCCATTTGATTTTCATTAAACTATCCGTTAAAAATATGTACATGCTAAGTGTTGTTTTTTCAATTTGCGTTTGGAAAGGATGTTAGGAGAAGATTAAATATTGCAAACTATCAATTCACAATCAAAAGGAAACGATAGAATAGTAACTAAAAAGAAAATGAGATAGCGAATGAGGGAGAAGATAAAGAACTGCATAGGCATGCACGATGACTGGAGCATGAGTGATGGTTAAAAATGCAGAAAGAAAAACGAAATGTTTGACTTGAAAAAATGAGAATAGACTTAGATTGGGTTCAGAAAAGAAAATGTGGGGAAAAGTGTGAAAGTGGTAAAACACCAAAGAGTGTGATCGATGGCAGCCTATTAGGGTTAGCCCTAGGCGGTTTCTGGATTGTTACATTCAATGCAGAACTCTAGGACCTGAGAAAAAAGAAAGATTGGGATGTGTGTAAATTGTGAAGGGATATCCTGGTGTTACATAAACCTTATGGTGCACTACAAAGCTTTGATCGAGTGAGCAGGAAAAGGATACCCTCACAATATTACGATTGCATTTCATTTGCTTGTTGATGTGAGTTGAGGTCATGGCGAGAAAAATCTTCAACAAAAAGTGTTGCTGACTATGAAATAAAGAGAGAAAGAGAATAGGGGATTTGACTGATTACAATTATGTTGTCGAGGTGATGCAAACAGGAAAAAAAGTTTTAAAGGAGTGCAGATTGAGTTTTTGTGTGTGGTCTCAATAAATGCTTTCTTGTGTGTGACGCAGATCTGATCTTTACAAACTTTCACTTTCAAAATGAGCTCAGCAAGCTTTTTAAAAGTTTAACAGTGATCCAATGAATAAGCGAGAGAGATTGCCCTCCATCATCATCTGTCCGACACCGAAGATGATAATGGTAGCAATCCAGCTGGTGGCCACTGTCATTGAACTGCTGACGACGTGCACAAAGTGGCCCGGGCTTGGGTGTTCAGACCAGCCGACGGGATTGTGAGCAAAAATGATCACCCTGTGCTCGCCACGAGGCAAAGGGATGGGAATGACAAAGGTGCTGTTGTCTTTGGCAAAGTTTGAAGCTAACAAACAAATTGATAGTTAGTTTTAAATTTCAGTGATTAAATAGAAAGTGCTTACTCTTACTCTTGTTGAACAGATGTGCCTGGTTTGAGCCTACTTCCAGACGGTAGATGTCAACTTGAGGCTCAATGTGGCTCTCGTTCAGTTGCAGGTGAATGGAGCCTAGTATTTAAAAAAAGAATTTGAG